TGTACATACACAAAAAATATAATAGAGTAACTGTATGTAATTAATTTATTAAAATATACAGTGTATTTTTGTAATTTTTTTTATTGAAATTACCTATTTGAAGTGTTTATTATACCTGAATTTCTTTCAGTGTTCTCAACAGGAACAGTTATATTATTTTGAGAGGGTCCAGCTACATTGTACAACATATCTATAATTTTATTTATAATATACATCTATTCAAATTTACAAGATACTTGTTACAATAACTATTTTTTACTTTATAATAGTCTTAAAATCCATTTTCTTAAAAATATTTAATTACCTCTTTCATCTATAACAACATCCATATTCATTAAAGATTTAAATGTAAATGGTGACTCTTCTTCAATTTGAATTACCTTATAAAGTTAACATAAAATATAGAGGAAAACATTTTTAAATTTATCTGTGAATTAATTATTTTAAAAAGTTGATTAACAACACATTAATTTAAATTTCAAACATAAACATAATAAATATTTAATTTAGTAGGCAAAAATAAAACTGTATATTTACATCAATAGGATTTTTTAGTATTTCCAATTGATTTATAAAATTGGCCCTTTCTCCAATTTTTGGTACTAAGTCTACCAATATCGATTCAGTCAACATAAATAATGTTGTTTTATAAATTTCTTCTTCTGAAAAATAAATCATCAACTATCATATTATCTTATATCTTTTGACTAATCCAATAACTATTTGTTGAAAAAAAATCATTCAAACATTTTACTTTAATATTCTAAATTCACCAAGTTTATTGTTTTCAATTTTGAAACAATTGAATATTGGTATACTTTAGATTGAAAAATTTTTTTCAAGTATAATTTTTGTTACCAAAATAGCCATTCATTTTAAATATTTTAAAAATACAAGGTTCTCTAAGTTAAATAATTAAACATTTTAATCTGAGCCGTTACTACTCCATATTTATTAAAATATACAGTGTATTTTTGTAAACATTATACATTATTGTGAGTAACTTTATTTCACCTTTTACTGCTCACCTTCTTCAACAAGTCGTTAATTTTAATTATACAATTATTCAAATATATTTTAAGTACATAATTATATAATTTTTGACTAATTTAATAAAATATATACATTAAGTTTTTTTTTTATAAATTGCAATAACATTTTTGTGTTCTATCGTTTTAAGAATTCAAGTGTAAGATCAGATATTTTTAGTTAACTGATGAGTAGAATAAAATAATACTCGATTTTCTAGTATTTTATTAGTAACTAGTGTCTAATAACTACTAACTTCTAATAAATAGTAATTACTAATTAGTAATTACTGTTATCATTCGATTATTTTCTCTCGATTATTCCCATCACTATTTATTAGATTGTTCAATTAAAAGACTTGCCTAATTTATCAGCTGATAAAATTGATTTAAAAAATTTTTGCTGACTTAAATTAAAGTTGATGGTTCTATTTTTAAGATCAATTTTCAATTTATCTTTAAAAATATCAAACTTTTGAATCAGATTTTGATTTTTTTGTGGATATAAATTATCAAAATCCATATCAATCTAAAAAAGTGTGTATATGTATAGTTCTAGACTTTTTTAAATATAATTTGTTAAAAATGTAATAACATTTTGTGATATAAGGATTTAGTGTAAAAGTAAATAGTAATATTAATATTACTAACTCATATCAGTTTCCATAAATTAAAAACAGATTCTACAATTTATATAAACTTACAAGTATGTGACCCGTTGAGTTTTTAAAGCTGGGTATTTAAGAGTACTTTTATCATTTTTTTGTTTTTGTAAACGATAATTTGCAGTTTCTGCCCACAGCTTATGTAAAGTTATTTCAGGTTCAATATTGTGCTTTAGCCAATTTATTGAATCCAAAATGTCTATTTAATTAAAAATTATAATTAGTAAACACTAAATTAAGAAGTTTATAAAAAAAGTTTATTAAAACATCTGTTTCAAAGAATTAAATAAAAAATGTTTTGTCAAGAGATACATTTAAATTTAGTTTATTAAAAAAGTTATCATAACCTTCTTCGTTTGTGAAAACTGCATCATTTTTATTGAAGGAGTTTTGTTGTTTACTTGCTGTATTGATTTCATTGATTTATTTTTTTATATTACAATATTAATCATAAAGTTTACCTCAATTAGGGCTAACTTTATTGCCTTCTCTAAAATATGGAATGAAATAAACATGCTCAGATTCTGAAGGGAATAACTCTTCTATACCTATAATTATGAAAATATCAAAATAATTAATTAGTAATATTTACTTGTTGTTTTAAATTAAAGATAATAAATAAAATATTGCACATTTGTATATTTAATTAATATTATTATATGGTTTTAATATAAAACATCTTGCATAGTAATCATTAATCAAGTATACGTACATTATGTACTTATTACTAGGTATATAGTATTCTGCATTTCACTTATGAAAAGAAATGTATACCTTTTGCAATTTTGGAAAATTGAAGTCTGTTAATTTTATTTTCCCCTTCAGAACTGTGTAGAGCATCTTTTATCAGTACTCCGCAAAGCCGATTTCTCATTTTTTGGCTTAGTGTCCCATTTGAATTATGATACTGTAGTATAATAATACCGTCTTGGTATTTTTTCAATATTTGTTTGATGAAATTATCTGTATAGGTACAATTTAAAACTGTTTGTTAATTTTAAAATAAAAAATTGCTTGGACATATCCTCCATTTTATAGATATAGGTAATAGGTAATATATTATTTTTTGTAAAAATTAAATAATTAGTATTACCTTTATTAGATTTAATATTACTGGAATTTTCATCAACAGTTTGATCTCTACAATTATTAC